CCTAAGCTTTCGAAAAAACAAGTTTCTTTAAGGGGTAAAACTAAACGCTCTTCAATCTGGTGAAAGTGTCAATAACATTACTTTTTGGGTCACAGAAACCTCGCCAATAACGTATTAGCGAAGACGTAAAATGCCACTTTTCTGACTTTTCCTTATTGACTGGAGATGGCAAGTAACGTTGTTAAAGTACAAACAATAGGTCACTTAACAAATTCATAGATAAAGCTAATATTTAGGAGAGAGGAACACTTTCTTCTGATACTCTAGGCTACCGATTCGAATCTTTTCTGAGGTATACAATTCAGTGAAAAGATAAAAGAGAGGTAGATGACATGGACTGTCAAATTGGATGATTTGCTTTTCGGCAAAAAATTTAACTCTTCTTTCGTAGATTTTCGGTTTGATACGTGTATGCCCTTTTATGGAATGAAAAAGCGCATGCAAAATTCTTCCTGTTTTTAAAGTGTACTTCAAGAAAGGCTTGTACGTGGAGCAGGAGTAACGTTCTTCGAAATCACGGCATGTTAGTTTACCATTAACAAAAAGTTTCCGGAAATTCTGGAACCAGAAAGAAACACGTCTTCTCGAATCGTTTCGGACCGTTTTGATGTTCCAAGTGGATATTCATGGTTCCAAGTTCATGGGTTTTAATTGCTTCAAACTCACCTTTGACATCCGTTTCATGCTTTCACTGCCGACTTTCGGTGGTATTTGCAGCGCAATTCCCAACCCTTGTGGTTATCTTTAACCCCCGCTGATTTTCCCAAACTGTGAACCGACTGGTTTGCCCATCTAACAAACAAACCCTGTGTGTTTTTTTTTCATTCAAATAAACAGTCGCCGCGGGCGTTTATTATTGTCTTCCCAGTTTATTCCTTTATTTAAGTTTTTGTTCTGTATTTGTTCCAAGTTGTTTTTGTTTTAAGAACGTCATTTAGTAATGTGACGTTAAAACTCAAGTGCGCACAGTAAAGATGGTGTTCGATATTGTTAAAGTAATTCAAGGATCTCGGCTCAGAACGTAAGGCTTTAAATATATGAAGCCAAGTAAGTACTTTTTATTTTCCCAATATTAGCATAGGCTCGTCAGCATTTTTCGTCCAAAAGTTTGTCATTTTCGTACACGGAGAATGCTAGAAGCCTTTTGATAATTAAAATATTATGAAATGGCTAAAAATGACTAATAATGCTTACAAAGAGACTGTACAATATCCTTCCGGCTTCCATTTCTCAGTGGTTATTTCAAGCCACATATTCATTGTTTTCTGCGCGTTCTAAATGGCTTTCATTGTTCAATGAACAGTTAATTCATCGATCAATACCCCGCGCTGATTTCTCATTCATCCTTGACTCAGGGTGAACCGCAAATTCGGCGGTCATGTGATTTCAGAAGTAAACCACTTCCTTCGTCCATATCGGTGTTACCAAAGTTGCCAATATCATTGTAATCCCTTTGCATGAATCGTGACTATTGTGCCTATTAAAAGCACACTATTGTATTCGATAAAGACTGTTTAAGAATTTGGCCCAGAGTTGAATTGTATGATATTGGCAAAGTCAAAAATTGTTTTGTTGTATAAGGTTTTGTTCATTACAAAAACATTACATAATCTTAGTGCCGTTAAATGTAAAAAAACGTGCAGTTTAGGAACATATTTCAGCAACGGAGTATATATACTGTAAGAGTTCTTATGTTTCATTAATGTGAGCACTGGCCTGACTTTTCTGCCTTGATTTTGCCAAGGACCAACTCCGGAAGAATTGGACTGCATCGAAACAGCTATCAAAACTGTGTTTTGTTGTGGCTTTTTCCTATTACCGAAGAACTAAAGAGTCCATCTACCAGATTCTTGACGAAAATAAATTGAACAAAAAGTCTTTGGATTGTTCATGAGGAATGCTAAGCGGTAAGTGTTTGAGAATTTTACTGTCCGGCTTTGCAGGGATCGTTTTGATCATTCTTTACGTCATGCATTCCTTTTGCAGCCTAAATTAAAGGCGCAATTATAAAAGCAGTGCACGGTGAAAACATTCATGAAAGCAATGATTATCATACCGACGCTAAGTGAAACCAATTGTGAGTCGTAAAAGAGAAGCATTTATGAAGACAACATAGCCGCAATTTCTTAATCCATGAAGACTATCTGTTCAGAAGCGATAATTCTAAAATACTGTTAACTCATGGGGTTCAACTTAAAGGCTAAAAAAAAGATGAAACCTTGCGAAGTATATAAAGCTGTTGGGGTACTAAAAGTTTTAATACTCTCGAATTTTAAACGGAACAGCTAAGTGATTTCATCTTGGTTCAAGAAGCAATGTTTCATAGCATGGTTAAAGGATGTATTCTCTTAAAGTCTTTCTGTTACTAGGATCATGTGGTCATACTTTCTCCCCTGTATAAGTTATACACCTATGTTTTACTTTATTGAGGGAAAAGTTTTTAAACTAGGTACATGTTTTCACTTTGATTCAAGTCAGCTTAAAACGCATCTAAAGGCAC